ACTGCATGGGGTCTTCCGTCGTTGTGATCGGTGGGTGTCGTGCGCTCAAGATCGTGCGCGCGTGATTGGCGGAGCAGGTGGTGGTAGAGAACAAGACTTGCACGGTCGAAGGAGCGGAAGGGCAATGGGAAGAGGTGGGGGCTTGAAATGGTGAAGGGGTCGAGCAGGGGGCGTGGGCTTCTTACTGACCTGCGAGTCGACAAACGCCTCCAGCCAACACGAGAAAGCACAGCGCGAACGGGACGACGCGCAAGGTCTACAGTCGTGTGACGTTTTCGTTAGCGCCCCCGGCTATCGACGATTGCTGGAAGAACGAGGGCCTAGATGCGCAAGGGGCCTGCGATATGATGCAGGCGACTTCGAGCGATGGCGGACGCGTCGCAAAGGCAGCACACGGAAGAAATGACACCAGCGAACGGGTGTGACAGCCACCCCCATTCGTTTGGTGCCCGACAGGAGAACGGAGAGTGCAGTGAGCGGGGTTTGAGGGGCCCTTCAGCTGCCTGCGTCATCCGGTACTGCCGCGTCGGGGGCTGTGACATCAGGCGGTCCCTTTTTTGACGGACCCTCCTCACGAAATCGCACGGTCTGAAACCGTCGCGGGAGGGCGGGCCGTGATTGCGAGAGGACTGGCCTTTTTTCACTGTGCTATCGACGGTCCCAACGCATCATCTGGCGTAAATTTTCCCGCCCACTTTTGATTATCGGGGCCCGCGCGGATTTTACCGTGATATCGACGGTTCCAACGCGTCATCCGGCGTGACTTTTCCCGCCCACTTTCGTTTTTTGGGCCCCGTGCGGATGTATCCGTCATTCGAATGACGGTGGCGCCATTCCGCGAATTTGCAGGTGGGCATTGCAATCGTCCGAAGCAGCAGGCAATCGCATGTGTCGCCAACCCTCACGACCAAAAATGCCCGTCGCGCGCCCGGACCACCCGCCCTTGCCAGCGACACAGCCATCTCGTCACCGTCTTCCCTGCTGTTTGGCTCGCTTCTCTCTCTCTCCCTCGTCGCCATATCCCTCGCCTCGCCATCTCCTTCGCGTCGCAATCTCCCACGTCTCCATTCGCAGTTTTGCCCTCTCACGCGTCGGCACCTCCCTTTTCGCGCGTCGCGACACGCGTCGTCGTATTGCGCTTTGAGATCATCAACCAAGTCGCCGGGGCCATTGTTTCCAACAACGGTTGTAAATCGAGGAAAGAAAAGGTGCGTTCTCTCTCTCATTCTATCTCCCTTTCTCATCTCTCTCTGTCTCACTCCTCGTCTCTCTCTCTCTATTTGGCTCTGCCTCTCTTTCTCTCTCTCTCTTTCTCTCTCTCTCTCTCTCTCTCTCTCTC